AATAATGCCTTCAGCATTTGCAAACCTCAGTGTTATCTCTGACTCTTCATTCTCTTTGACCCTGAATATCCAATCAGTAGCCTACCCTTGTTGTTTCTGTCTCTATAATATCTGTTCTTCTGTCTGCTTGATTCTACTCTGATAGTTCAGGTCTTCATCATCTCTTGCCTGTGTCACTGCATCATACTACTAATTAATCTCTCTGCCTCTAGTCTGTCTTCTTTTCAATTCATCCTCCAGCTGCTAAATTAATTTTCCAAGAGCGCAGGGCTGATCATGTCACTACTCTATGAATTCCAGTGGCTCTCTATTGCCAGTAGAATTAAATTTAATTTCCTCTGCTTGACTTTTAAAGCTCTTTATACCTTGGCTCTAGCCTCCCTTTTTAACCATATTATATATTATTCCCACTTTTGCACTTAACGCTCCAGCAAAACTGGGCTTCTTGATGTTACTCACATACAATGCTTTATCTCCACGAATGTCCCCTCTGTCTAGAATGCATTCCCTTTTCACTCCTGATTTTTGGAATCTCTCATTTTCCATTCATTTGCTTCAAAACTCTGCTCAAGCACTATCTTTCACTTAAAGCCTTTTCTAATCTTCCAAGCTGCTAGTGTCCTCTTCTCTCCCCTCCTCCAAAAAAAATATTTACCTTGTATTTGTTAATATAGTTACCTATACACATGTTGCTTCCCTCCATAGAATGTAAGCTCCTTGAAAAAACAAAACAGGGGCAGCTAGGTGGCACAGTTGATAGACCACCGGCCCTGAATGCAGAAGGACCTGAGTTCAGATCTGGCCTCAGACACATAACACTTACTAGCTGTATGACCCTGGGCAAGTCACTTAACCCCATTGCCTAAAACAAAAAGAAAAAGGAAAAACCAAAACATATGATTGTATATAGGAATAAAGTGAATCTGATTCAGTTTTGTCCCCAGCACCTAGCACAGTAACTGGCACATAATAGATGTTTAATAAAATGCTTGTTGATTGATTGCCACCCAGCCCTTTGGCAAACTCTGCAGCTTGTACTAGAGCCCAGTGCAATAGACTGGGATGGAGTACAAGCACAGATATTTAGCAAATCTATTCAGTCACAAAGCTTCCCTAGAACTACATTATTCTGCAAGGAAGAGTTGTCACCTGGCTTCCTTTCCCTCTTTTGTTTGAAAATAATAGACAGTAGTAGTATATGATTGTGATGGAATATTACTGTGCTATAAGAAATGATGAGCAGGTGGATTTCAGAAAAACCTGGACCTATATGAACTGATGCAAGAGAAATGAGCAGAACCAGGAGGACATCATACATAGTAACAGCAATACTGTGAGATGATCAACTGTGAATGATTTAGCTATTTTCAGCAATATGATGATCCAAGACAATTCCAAAGGACTAATGATGAAAAATGCTATCCACCTCCAGAGAAAGAACTGATGGAGTCTGAATGCAGATCAAAGCATACTATTTTTCACTTTCTGTGTTTTTTTTTTCATGTTTCTCTTTTCCCTTTATTTCACAATATGACTAACATGGTAATACGTTTTGCACTATTGAACATATATAACCTATACCAAACTGCTTACTGTCTTGGTGGGAGATGGGTGGGGAGGGAAAGAGAAAATTTGGAACCCCTCAATTTTTTTTAAATGAATGTTAAAAATTGTCTTTACATGTAACTGGGAAAATAAACTATTGAAAAAGAGAAAATAATCAATTATATATCCACAATATATAGCCCAGTTTAGGAACAACAGCTGAGAGACTTCTGCCCTCTCTGTTTTTGTGTGTGGCACCTGGTGAGTTGCAGAGGACCAGATATGGGAGCAAAAGAAGACCATGAAGAACATGCCCGTCATAGCCAAGGCAGCTTCCAATAAGGGAAGGAAGGGAAAAGCTGATGCTCTTGTTAGGGTTATTTGTATCAGCTTCAGCTTTTGAGTGCTTAGAGATCATCAGTTCTACTTCTTTTATTATAGATGGAAGAGGAGAGCTTTCCATGAAGGGCTAATGTGGCCAAAAGATTTGGTCTGTAGAATCTTCTTGTGGGGATCTGCCAGAATAGAAAGATGAGTGAGTCCAAAGCATAGTGACATCCAGATGGGGCAACTCCTGAAGTTTGGGGCAGACCTCTTTGAAGCTTAAAAGAGTCATTCTTCATTAAAATTTTGGGAATCAGAGTAGACATTCCCAGGCCATAGAGAATGGGTCAATGTTTTGTATTCCAAAATGGCCAGGCTAAGTTCCTACCTGACTCTATACCCTTCTTTGTCACCTATCAGGATGGTGAACTGCATTTCCAATTGGATTAATCCACTACTCTGGAACTCAAAATGAGTTAATATAAAGACTTATAGTCAGAATGAGAATTTTAGGCAGAAGGAATCCAAGGAGAGTATAGCTACATTAACTATCCTGTAGCTAGAGATGAGCATCTAAATTAACTTAAGCATCTTTGTAAATTTTAAAAATATTCACTTTTTAAAAACTTGTTATGCTTTATTCCTATCTTCAATCACATGTTCTCCTGTTCTGTTTTGTTTTTGTTTCTCCCAGACTTATAATTTCATTAATATAACGAATGCCCCATGAGGAAACTACATCTTCCAATGCAGCTCAGTACTTGGCTCTGCAACTTTAGAATGGTCTGGGACACCAAGAGGATAAGTTTGTGACTCAGGGTCACAGTTAGTATGTATCAGAGTTGGGACAACGATTTATTCCTGACTCTGAGGCCAGTTCTCCATCCACTATACTAGTGGTTCTAAAAGTGTGATCTGGAGAGTACTGGGGTCCTGCATACTTTTCAGGGGGAATGTGAGGTCAAAACTACTCATAATATCTTAAGATATTTTAATTTCTAACATAGTATACTTTGATAAATATAACTCCCATGAATTGCCCTTTGGCATCCTCAATAATTTTTAAGGGGACCGAGAACAAAAAGTTTAACCATGATATGGTGATTCAAGTACCTTTCACATTCCCCTGTGGTACTTAATAATAAATCCCCTTTTTACTGGAGCACAAATTAACACATTCTTAAAACAATAAGCCATTGCACCTATTATACTGTACCAAGAATAGATATTTCACATTCACTTTAGATTCTTACTAGTTATCAAGGCAACTCGCAAAATCCAGATCTTCTGGGCAATCAGGTATGGCTCTTTACTTCCTTCAAGTTCAGAATGATCTTCCTGGATTTTTGCCTTTTCCTTCGGAAGCAGTGTCATCAGAGGAAGAGAGCACCTCCCATTAGGCAGATGACACTCGAGAATTCCAGACCTGTTGAACTCGTGGGGTTACCTCCAGGGTTGGAAAGGTCCATTTCTCATGATTGCTGTTTGGTGTCTTGGGATCAGTCAGAAAACAATAACAAAACTGAAGAAGCAGCCAGGGCCTAGAGATCTAGTCTTGGGCTCCCTCGGTGAGACATCTTATTGCCATGAGAAGAATTTCTCTACTGCCGGGAGTAGGAAATACATCCCTTCCAAGGGATTTTCTAGAAATCTAAGGGAAAGCTACTGCTAAGTCTGTCTGGAGAGGGTGGCTTCAAAAGAGAGGGGTGGAGCCTATTTACAACTCTCAGAACCACCTGAGGCTCTTTCTGGCTCAGTCATCAATTATCTAATATAACCTTTCTTGTCATAAGGACCAGTATAGACTTGGTATATTATCTCAAGGTGCAGCACATCTTCCACAACAAGAAGCAAACCCTCAGAGACAGTAAATGTCCAGTTCCATTCTCTTCAAAATGTATTTTTGATTTTTTGTTTTGTTTTGTTTTTGATCGGGCAATAGGGTTAAGTGACTTGCCCAGGGTCACACAGCTAGTAAGTGTTATGTGTTTGAGGCCAGATTTGAACTCAGGTCCTCCTGAAACCAGGGTCAGTGCTCTATCCACTGAGCCACCTAACTGCCCCTCAAAATATATTTTTGAAAATAAATCTTATCATTTTATTTATTTTAAATATATTTTCATTCATATCTTTTGTTTTTAATATCATTTACATTTCACCATCCCAGAGAATCATATAATATATATGCACACATATACATATATGTATGTATGTATATATGCACATATGTTTATATAAATCTCTTTTTAATTAATGCCTGCTAGACAAGGCAGCTACAGGGTTAGAAAGGAAGAAGAAAGCAAATGACTAAACTTTCCTTGACAGAGAGGTCTGAAGTGTAAGGAATCTCAGAAAATCAGGAGGCACGGTGGCAGCTTACTACCCAAAAGGGGACATGAAAGCCTGAGATCCTGGTTTGCTTTTGCGAAAAGAGAGTTGGGTTTTACATAACAGATGGCCTTATTCTGCCTCTGGTACCATACCTCTAATTATGGGTGTTTAATCTGATGTTTTAGAGAAGGATTCTTTTCACCTAGCTAAATCTGGTCTCCTTTATTTCTACTTATGCCATTGAAATGAAAGGTCAAGAAAGATGAGGATGTAAAAATAGCTTTTGAATTTGACAGTAGGATAATCTTCCATGACCTTAGTAAGAATTTAAAAGGGGAAGAGTCTGAATGGGAGACCCACTTCCAAGAATAAAGCCTCAAACTAACAAAAATAAACCCCTTAACCCAGCCACAGTCTCAGAAATGCAAAGAAACACAAACTGTGATAGGATTGCTCCCTGCTTCTCAGATGAGCTATTGCAGAAATATGCAGTAAAGGCATTTTTGCCTTTTCATGAAGCCATTACTACCCAACTAGCCACTCTCCCTTTTATGCTTTGGGAGTCATAGAATACCTTTTCCTTCTAATCCGGAATATCGAAGAGCCTTCCTCATCTGTGTTCCTACATTGCCACCTATCTGCATGTGTGTGAAAACACAAGCTTCGCTCCTGATTTTACTGTGGAAAGGCTTAAATCATGTTCTCCCGTCACTGTGTGTAATTTGAACCCTGCTTGACTTTAGCCTATCCCAGCCTGAGAGCTCACCTCTGGCTTTACAGGTTCTAGCCACTGTTCTTCTTAGTCATTAGAAATCTAGGTGGGGCTTCTTTGTTGCTGACCACAAAGCCTTTCATGCTTACACTTTCCTCCTTAAATACTTCCCCCTCTACCTAACATTGTTAGTAGTGCCCAGAACTCCCAGCTGCCCACTTCTCTCTTCTTTCTGGAATCCTGTCCTTTCCTCCTTTGACCTCAACTCCTCGGAGTATCGGACAAAATGCTGCGCTGTGGCCTGGCCTGTGAGCGCTGTCGGTGGATTCTTCCCCTGCTTCTGCTCAGCGCCATCATCTTTGATATCATAGCACTCTCTGGAAGAGGCTGGCTGGAGTCCGAAGACAATTCTCAGACTTCCTCCCTCTGGTGGACATGTCCTGGTGAGGCTATCTCGGGGGGCGCTGGCTCCTATGAAGAAAACTGCAGGAGCCTTATGGACTTTGGTGAGTGGGCAGGTAGATGGGGAAGGCATGGCCCATTGTTCAGGTGAATAGCTCTTGACTCAAGACAGAGATTCCACTCCAAGAATTTTCCCTTTCTCCTCTTTCCTTCTTAAAAATGTTTTCTTAGGCCAAGTTCTCACAAGTATAATTTTAGCAGATCCTTCAGTAATTTAAAAGGTGAGATCATGTTAGCTCTTGTTTTAAGGAATGCATTTCTGACTTCTGCCAAATTCTTTGCTTGTGAGTTCCTTGTCTTTGTATCCACTGATCATAGCATAATGCTTTGTATAGGTTAGGTGCTTAACAAATTTGTGTTCATTTCATGTAAGAAATGAAATGCAAATAAATCATGTAAAGCAGATTTCAGATAGTTACTCTAATGGTGACCGGAAGCTCAGTGATGGCAAGCTTATGGATCATAGATTAGAGCTGGAAGGAAACTTTGAGGTTCACAGATCCGAGCTTGGGGTGTGGTGGAGTTTAGAAGTCATCTAAAGGTTTGACAGGAAGGAAACCCAAGTTGAGAGAACTTCAGTGATTTGCCCAAGGTCATACTGGTTACACGTTTCAAAGGCAGAAAACCAAAAATCATTCCAGTGCAATACCCTGGCATCCTCTTTCCTAGTGTACAATATGATTTTTACATGCAAGTATTTCAGTACCGAAAATGAATCTGTTATCTCACGAATGTGGGTATTCCCTCCAGTTTATGCAAACCCCCAAGGAATGCTAAATTGATTGCAGTAACGAATGAAGCAACACTTGTGTTTTTCCAGGCCATTCACTTTACCAGTCGAAAATGGCACCATATGTGTCAAGGATTTATAAGATGATATTGTTCAATTTGTCTGTCTAAAAGCAACCTCAATGCTTATTGTTGTTCATTTATTTCAGTAGTGTCTGACTTTCGTGACCCCATTTGCAGTTTTCTTGGAAAAGATATTGTAGTGGTTTGCCATTTCCTTCTCTAGTTCATTTGACTGATGAGGAAACTGAGGCAAACAGGATTAAGTGACCTGCCGGTCATGCAGCTAGTAAATGTCTGAGGCCAGATTTGAACTCAGGAAAAGGAGTCTTCCTTACTCAAGGCCTGGCACTATAATTCACTGAGCCACCTAGCTGCCCTAGCCTTAGTGTTTAAATGCTACTTAATGGAGACTAACACAAGGCCTTCATAACCATAGCCTGATAACAGTGAAAAACAAACAAACAAACAAAAAACCCTGTGGATGTCCTTTTCCGTTGCCTGTTGTGACTGCTCAATTTAGATATCCCTAAGTCTATAATACCAGGGCTTCTCACCAGACCATCTTTATTGAAGATCATATTTGTTTACTTCCTATACAAATATTTAGAAGACCCTCTTGTATAATTCCTTCAAAGGAATCCTGGGATCTTTCAGGCAGAGGGCAAATTGGGAAAGGTGGTAAAGCTAGGGACTGATTGGAGTCTGCACTTTGCTAAATGTCCATGCTCTTTCCTTTAAGATAAATATTTTAAATGTTTTGCTACATACAAACTGAAACCCTTCCTAGCACCTCTGTTTCAGACAGAGGAATAAATTTCTTTGAAATAATATAATCCCATGTCCTAGTTAGAATTTTAACTTTCTGAGAGGTGAAGAGAAGAGATCTGATGGACTCCCAAAGCAGACCGAGGCACATTTTTGGCCATAGCCCAATGTGGGAATTTGTTTTGCTTAACTATGCCTATTTGCTTCAGAGGTTTTGGTTTTCTTTTTGGTTGGCAAGAGAGGCAATGGTGAGTTAAAAGGGAGTGAAAAAAGATTTTTAACTGAAAAAAAAACAAACAAAAAGATTTTCAAAGACATTTTGCTACAAAGGCTAACGGTGAACAAAAACTGTAGTAACCTGCTTAGAAAAACAAAAGCTTGCCAAAGTAGTTCTTTGGTATTGGAGTGGTGGGTGCCTTGAGAAAACCATCAGGTTCATTACTGCTTGAGTGTGGCTTGGCTTGACCCCTCTGATGAAAGAAGCATCATACTTGTTGTTGTTGTTGTTGTTGTTGTTGCTAGGCAATGGGGTTAAGTGACTTGCCCAGGGTCACACAGCTAGTAAGTGTTATGTGTCTGAGGCCGAATCTGAACTCGGGTCCTCCTGAATCCAGGGCTGGTGCTCTATCCACTACGCCACCTAGCTGCCCCATTGCTGTTTTTTAGGGTACTGCTGGGTTGAACTTCAAAATTTTTTTTAAACAGGGTGTGGTTGAACTAACCACAGAATAATACTTTCAATACCTTGAACCTTGAGAGAGCACAAGTAATTTAAATTACACATAGAAGCATGTGTATACATATTTTCTCAACTGGTAGAAATTTGTAGCCTTTTCCTTTTTAATTTGAAAGGGAAAACTGAGAATGTTTAGAATATACTTGGATTTAGCTTAAAGATTGCTCTTTTAGAAAGCTCCATTTTCATTCTGATGCAGTCTTGGAAAAGCATATCAAAGTCCTTTCTTTATGAAAAACAAGAATACATTTGCAAGATTGGGCGTAACTTCCACAAGTTTTTGTGTTTGGTTGTTCTTGTTGCTTATACGAAAGGTTCTAAGTATGAACAACGTATCAAACACAGTTTCTACCCATGACTAGGAACAAGTCACAACCAAGGGAAGGAAAGGGAAATGCTCCAAGGGAAAGAGGTAACCACGGGGCGGGGGGGGGGGGGGGGGAAGAAGGTAGCTTCTTTGACTCATCAGAACAAACCTCTGACCTTTTTAGTCACGGAGTTTGAAAGGTTGCTTGTGCTCTGCTGCAGTGCTGTGCCCTGTGCCTCTAGCTATGGGGTCATTTGTACTTTACACTCCCCCGTCCCCATAATCATTCAATATCCCACCTAAATTCACAGGTACCTGAAAATATAGCCATGATGGACAGTACATATCATCAAAGCATATAAACATGTTAAGTGTCTTCTATTTTTTTTATTAATGAAATTTAAATTATTGATGATTTTTCCCAGATTAGAGATGAAGCACTTGTCTTAAGTGTTCTTTTAAGTCATTTGCTTCAAAGGTACAATATGATCGGGCATTCAAGAAATGTCAGAAAACAGTCCTGATAAGATGCTATTCTGATTTTCCTCCCTCTAATTTTAGGTCTTGGTATATAAGAAACGGTACTATGATGGAAAGAGTATTGTACTGGCAGTCAGGCAACCTAGTTCTACTCCTGTCTTTTCCACTAACTATGTATGTGACCTTGCATAAGTCACAATTTCTCTGAATCTTATTTTCCTTATCTATAAAATTAAAGGAGGTTCAACACCTCCAAGTTCCCTCCCAAGTCTAACATTCCCAGGACCACAGAATTTTAGAATTTAAATGACCTCAGAAGTCATCTAGTACAATATAACTGAACAGGAATTCCTCTCTACACTATCCCTAAAAAGTGCCCATCCAGCATTTGTCTGAAGACATCTAAATGAAAGGAAGTGTTCCTAGGCACACCTTTAGAAATTGGGACAGGTCTAATACCATGAGGAAGATTATCTTGACACTGATCCCAGTTGAGCCCCCCTGACACCCAAGTAATAGGTGGTAACCCTAAATGCTCCTAATTCTGCCCTCTGGGACCCAGAAAGACAACCCCATGTGAGTCTTCATTAGGCTAAATGTCCACTGTGTTTCTTCAATCAGTCCTTTTATGGCACTGTGTCCAGCCCAATCACCATCCTAGTGACCATTTCCTGATATTCTTAAGCTTATTAATATTCTTTGTAAACTATGAGTGATCTCCCAAACTGAATATGCTTAAGTTCAATGGGACTATCACTTTTTTTAGTTTGGACACTATTTTTTTGCCTGCCATATTGAGACCCTCAAGTTCCCCTAGATTTTTTTCACATCTTCCCTACCCTGTACTTGTGCACTTTTTGTTGTTGTTTTAACAAGGATAGGATTTTAGACTTAAGTCAATTAAGTTCTAAAGTTTTAGATTCAGCTTGTTCTAGCCCTTTGCAAATTCTTTGGATATTGACTCTGTATTCCAGAATACTACCTATCTTTCCTAGTCTATAATTCTGACATACCCACATACTCCACAGGTCAGGGTTTCTAAATCTGTGGAAATGGCAATTTTGAAAATATCTCTGTGAGATTTAGAGTTAAGGATAGATGAAATCAAAGTATCAGTACTTTTTGATTCCTCATTTGAAATTCTAATCAAGCTTTCAAGAGGCAGGCTGGCATAAATGATAGAGGATTGGCTTTGGAATCAGGGAGCTCTAGGTTCAAATCCTACTTCTGACACATACAAGGTTTTCGACCATGAGCAAGTCATGTAACTTTGCAGTGCCTCACACAACTCTCAAAGACTATAAGTTATAGAATAGTGGCTGATCTGCAGTAATAGGAAGAATTTTTGTGCTTGGAATTTCCAATACCAATGAAATCACAGGAGAAAAAATGATTGCTTTTCATCATTTTGCCAGGAGTTCTATCTCAGTTTTATGTACTAAAAAATTCATAACTGTACTTCTACATGCTATTTCCTTTGTAATCCTATGTATTTATTTTCTGCATTTAAAAATATTATTCTGAGAAGGGGTAAGGCTTCGTGAGACAGGATCGAAAAGGAATGCACGACACACAAAAAGCTTAGAATCCTTGCTTTAACCTCTATATCAATAAACTGCCTGTGGGAAATATGTATGTCTTTATTTGAGCAATTGGTCTGCAAATTTGCCACAGTGTTGTTTTCTAAATATGATACCTTAACTGAAATTCAGCTGGTGAAATGTATACAATATGGATGAGTGCATGATTCACATGATATTTAGAATTTAAACCTTAAGTGGTAGTGGTAATGTCTTACTACTCCTTACAGCCCTATACCCTTAAATCTCTAGTATTATGCAAATGTATTAGTGGACTTGTGGCATCAAAAAGTCTCAAAATTACTTTTCCAAAGGGACAGCTTCTTCAGCTCTTTGCCTTCTCAGTTTCAGTTTTTATGGAGGCCAAGGTTTTGTGAATGATGT